AATAAATAAATATTATTATTAATGAAAAAATTTCCTTTATCTACTTTTTGTGGTTGTTGAACAGTAAACTGGGCCAGCATTATTTCTATGTCACACACAAAGTAAGCTAATTTAAAAACAACTTAATATAAAACAAAATAAATTATATATTTACATACACACACACATATATATACTGTGTGTGTATGTATGTGTGCGTGTATACACATGCACACACACATACTGTATATTATAAGAATATGTTATTAATTTTAATGTTGATTTGAACCAAGTGATTCCAAATATACTTGACTGCACATAAATGTTTTAAATAAAATTAACTGAAAGCTTATAGCCTTTGACCATACACAGGTTTTAGAGTAATATGACTAATAAACTACTTAAGACATTGCTATTATATATAATTTATAAGTACCTAGCTAATAAAGCAAATGAAAGAAGCTGGCGACTTACAGCAAAGAAGTGTCCTATTGCAACTGATAATCCAATTGCTAATGCCACAGAACCGGTGACATCATTTCGTTTAGAATCACAGCTGGCAAAAATAGTAAAAACCAGCTGGAAAGTAATTATCAGCTCTACCAAGAGCCCATGTCCAGTGGAAAGTTCTGCATGTATCTAGAAGAGGAAACAAACAGGAGAGCCAGGCAGCATAAATAAAGTGTGAAGTTGTAATTACCAACCCGCTAATTAAAACAGTTTCAAAGTAAGTGTGTGTTTTGGAAAGAGAGAGGATAGAACAGAGCAAGGAATGAATACATTGAAAAAGCCTTTTAAGTAACAACCCTCTTGGGTGATCTGTGCTTCCTTGACAGGTGGCTCTGAAAGGCACCTGTTAATGGCTCTGTAATGGGTTACAGAGATGTCTATTTTGTGTCCTTACATGAAACCAGCACTGCACTAAACCATGAGATGGTTTGCTTGGCTCTGATTGTGGTGTAGATCCAGCTATTATGGCTTATACATTATGATATATAGTTGACATGAATGAAACTAGCTAGCGTGATTTATTCCCAAAAACCATGACGAAAGGTACCACACGTTTGTGTGATGTGTATACCCACCAACAGTCTTATGCTCAACCTAAGATCAACTGTGATCTTACAAACTGTGGCCATTATTTATATGTATATTTGTATAAAGTACAACACCCCTCTATATTTGTATAGAGTACAACTCTTGGTTTTTGATGGAAATTTCACCCAAGATTCTTAAGACCACAGCTTTTTTTTTCTTTAGCAGAACCATGACTTAGTTTTCTACTAGGAATCCATTAATTAGCTCTTACTCAATTAATTTCAGTTTCAGTTAAAAATTGGCAGCATAGTTCAAGTATAGTTTCACGTCCTGCAGTGAGGCTAATTGTTAGATCGGTTCTTAGAAGAGAACAAAGCTAGAACCAAAGGCAAAATCTATTTTTAAAAAGCTATCTAAAATATGCAGTTCTTTTGTTTTAACATGTCCATACTTTTCTCTTAAAATATTTCATGCCTGGATGTTATGCCTAATATCAACTCTTCTTTTAGAATTTAGAAATATCTACTAAGGAACAATTTCCAAGCATTAAAAAAAAAAAAACAACAACTAACCAACAACTAAGATAAAATGAATGTATTAGAATAAAATCAGTTCCTTACTTTAAGTTAAAGTATACATGCCACCCAAAATTTACTAGAACCTGAAACACGTATATTTTTGCCTGTGCTGTGAAGTATTTAGCAGCTAGTTCACAGTAAAAAATGGATTTATGGGGCATGGGGCACCCTGCCTATCAAATTTTTTTGTTAACACCTTTCCTAAAGGCATTCTAAATTCATTCAAAGAAATACATTCCATGTGGGCCTTGAGTTTTATCAAAAGGTTATTTTTTGAATTAAAAAATAATCATGTGAACCACGTGAGAAACCACTACTCAAATTTTAAAGCAAAATACTTTCATGAAGTTTATATAATTCCAAACACCCTATATTCTTTTTAGCCCTCTGCATCAATATCAACAAAAAAAAGGATGCTGAAATGAATTTAAGCTATCCAGATCTTGTCCGAGGATATCTTGGCCCAGATCCATGCTAAAATATGAATGCAGGTATGAGACTTAGAGTGTATGTTTATATGTTACTGTGGAACCTAGATGTAACAAAAGTGAGGTACTTACTATGTGACCAGTATAAATATAATCTGAATGTGACACTATACTGGAAAATAATTTGCATTGTAAACTTAATAAAGGAAGAATTGCTTGAAGCTGCCTCAGGAAAAAAAAAAGTAATTTTTTATTCTGAATTTATTCACTGGCCATTCTCTCCCAATACAGAGACAAATTAAAACTCATTTTTGGGATCCCCAATCTAATATCTGTGGGTGTGGTTTGCTCCCAAGACTTTGGCAGCGTATCTACTGGAGAGGAGACCCCAATTTCAAGTCCACCCTTAGCTGTATAAACCCATTGGCTGACTTTGGACCAGTCCCTCTCTTTCAGTTCAACCTATTGTGAGCTCTTAGAGGAAAGGCAAATATAAATTGAACAAAATCAGGAAGTAAAGAAATCTCCCAGTTACTTGCATTGGAGATAATTACCACCCCCCTTTCTGTCAAATTATGTGAAGACGATGGAGGTTATCCATGGGCAGGAATCCATGGATAAATGAGCTGCTTGGCACTGTGTGATGTTCCCCCCTCCTGCTCTAGCCATTTTGGGGCAGAAGAGCTATTCCCCTGCAAATGAGCGAGCCATTTCCTTTGTTCAACAAGTGCGGGGAGGTACTTTCAGGAAGAAAGGGCTTTTTCTCCATTTACACAATTAAATGTTCCTGCTTGGGGAAAACAACATGATCTTGTCTTTTTTTTTCTCATTCCCCAATTCCCCCCCTTCTTTTCCATCTCTGTTGAATTCTTTTCAGGATCTATGATGATGTCCTTTATTTTTGCACTCTACTGCTTATCTCAGTGCATAGAAAAGCCAGTGCAAGGACTCGCCCCTTCAGATCTCTAGCTGAGGAA